AAGACATGCTTAAAGATGAAAAGTCTGAGGTCTGATAATGGTGGTGAGTACATTGATGGTGGGTTCAAGGAGTACTATGCAGCTCAGGGAATCAGAATGGAGAAGACCACTCCGGGGACATCACAACAAAATGGTGTTGCAGAGCGCATGAACAATATCATTAATGAGCGGGCTAGAAGCATGAGATTACACGCCAGACTACCACCTACTTTCTGAGCAGAAGCTGTCAGTACTGCAGTTTATTTGATCAATAAGGGGTCATCTGTTCCATTAAACTATGAATTAACTGAAGAAGTCTGAAGTGGGAAAGAGGTAAAATTTTCTCACCTTAAGACTTTTGGTTGTCGTTCTTATATTCTCATTAATACTGATGCTCATAATAAGCTTGAGGCTAAGTCAAGGAAGTGTTATTTCATTGGTTATGGAGATGAGGCATTTGGATATCGTTTCTGGGATGATCAGGGTCGGAAGATCATTAGGAGCAGGAACTTGATTTTCAATAAGAATGTTATGTACAAGGACAAGTCCAGTACTGTTTCTGAAAAAAACACTGAAGGAATCTGAGTTGGTAAGATTTGATGATTTACCAGAGGTCACAGTGCAGGACAGAGATGCAGGTGACGAGGAGAGTGGATCTGGGGCATCCACTTCTATTGTTCCACAGTCAGTTTCAGAGCAGTTTACCCCTATAGTTGCAGTTCGCACGTCAGAAAGGGTTAGACGTTCTGCATAACGTTATTCTCCAACTTTGAATTACATTATGCTGATAGATGGTGGAGAACCTCAGACCTTTGAAGAAATCTTACAAAATGAAAATTCAAGCAAATGGGAGCTAGCCATGATAGAGGAGATGGATTTTTTGCTAGAAAACCAGACTTGGGAGTTGGCAAATCTTCCATTTTGGAAGAAGGCATTAAACAACAAGTGGGTGTACCGGGTGAAGACTGAGCATGATAACAGTAAGAAGTACAAGGCTAGAATTGTTGTAAAAGGTTTTCAACAGAAGCACGATATTGATTATTCCGAGATTTTTTGTCTTGTGGTGAAGCTTACAACCATCAGAATGGAACTGTCTATGGTGGCTACTGAAGATCTCTTCCTTGAGCAGTTAGATGTGAAGACAATCTTTCTTCATGGGGATCTTGAAGAAGACATCTACATGCACCAACCTGAAGGGTTCGTGGTACAAGGAAAGGAAAAGTCAGTTTGCAGATTGATGAAGAGCTTGTATGGCCTGAAGCAAGCTCCTAGACAGTGGTACAAGAAATTTGATAATTCATGCACAGTGCAGGGTACAATAGATGTCAGGCAGATCACAGTTGCTATGTCAGATATTTTGACAATTCTTATATCATCCTACTGTTGTATGTGGATGATAAGCTTATTTCAAATGCTAGTATTAAGAAGATCAACAATTTGAAGGAGCAGATGTCAAAGCACTTTGCAATGAAGGATAGGATTTGGGAGCTGCAAAACAAATCCTTGGTATGGGTATGTGAATTGTCAGAGATAGAGTCAGAGGCATGTTGAGACTTTCTCAGGCTGATTATGTGAAAATGGTACTTAGCAGATTCAACATGGATAAGGCTAAACCAGTTGGCACACCATTGGGAAGTCACTTCAGACTCAACAAGAATTAGTCACCCAAGTCAGATGAGGAAAAATATCACATGACTAAGGTTCCTTATGCTTCAGCTATTGGTTCACTTATGTATGTTATGGTTTGCATCAGACCGGATATTGCTCATGCAGTGGGAGTTGTTAGCAGATACATGAGTAATCCTGGAAAGGAACATTGGGAAGCAGTAAAGTGGATCCTTAGGTACTTAGGAGGCTCTGCAGAAACTTGCTTGTGTTGCTGTGGAAAGAGTTCAGAGGTACGAGACTATGTTGATGCTGATCTAGCTGGAGACATTGATACCAGAAGAAAGAAGTACTACATGTTTATATTTATACTGTTGGTGGCACTGCAGTATCATGGGGCTCTAATCTGCAGAAGAAAGTTTCGTTGTCTATTACAGAAGCTGAGTACATAGCACTGTCAGAGGCTGCAAAGAAGATGATATGACTACAATGCTTCTTGAAAGAATTAGGCAAGAAGGATCGGAAAGGAATTCTCTACAGTGATAGTCAGAGCGCCATATTACTTGTCAGGAATCCAACATTTCAGTCCAGGACTAGCACATTCATATCAGGTATCACTTCATACGATTATTATTGGATGACGGACAGTTAATGCTTAAGAAAATTTGTGGAAGTCAGAACCCTGCTAATATGTTGACAAAGGGTGTTAGTCTGAAGAAACTGAAGTTGTGCGCAACTTCAGTTGGTCTTCTAGTGTGAAGACATGGGCCTTGAGTTGCAGAATGGGAGGATTCATGTTTGAAGAAAATGTGATGTCGCCAGATGAGGATATCAGTTTGAGGAAGAAGAAGTTTGAGCCTGTGTACCAGTCTCAAAGTAGGAGTTTTGTTGTCTGGAGTCTGTTAAAAAAAAAAGGAATTTATGCATACCCCCGCTTCTCTCTCCCCCACGTTCGCCTCTTCTGTCGCGATTCCCATCTCACGTGAAACAGAAGCCTAACCTACCTCTCGTTTGCGAAATAAAAAAGCTTCTTCCTCCGCTCCCTCTCTGTGCGACTTTCTGTTTGAAGTTCTGGTGGTTTGATTTCTGTGCGACTTTCTGTTTTTCGTTCTTGCGTTGAAGACAGGAAGGAAGGATTTCGTTCTTGCGTTGAACACAGGAAGCAAGGAGTTTTTTCTTGCGTTGAAGACAGGAAGGAGTTCTTTCTTGCGGTGAAGGCAGGAAAGGAGTTCTTGCTTGAGGTGAAGACACTTAGAAGGAATTGTTGCTTGCGGTGTTTCCCTTCTTTGCACTTGTCTTCTGTTGTGGCTCTCGGATATAGAGAGAGGAAGTAAGAATTTTCTTTCTTGTAATTGTCTACGTGATTAGACGGTGTAATTTTCTCAATTAGTAAAATCCTTTGAAACTCCGTGAATGTAGGCAATTTGCCGAATCACGTAAATCTATGTGTTCTTTTGGTGTGTATTTTTCTCATGCTATTTTCACTTCGTCGTCGATCGTTATATTTAAATTTCATATATACCACAAGACGACTGTTGTCTGCACGTCTGAACTACGGACAAAAAAATTTGGCATGTATTGTACAACTATCGATGAGAAGGAGAGAGTGAGGGAGGAAAAACTATTAAGTGCGGAGTTCGGAAAGAAAATTATATTTAGACAACAAAAAAAATATAAGGATTTTATATTGGTTGTATATGTTGTACCTATTGTATTCATTATATTTCGTATAATATCGGAATGTGAAATATGTCTGGATTTAATTTTATATTGAGACTTTGTGGGCTTATTTGGCAAGATTTATGTTTAATTCTGCCAAATGATAAAAAAAGGTATTTGTAAATCTTACATATTCTTAAAACTCTTTTTTCAACCCATTTTTCCTTGAATTTGGAAGAAGATTTATGAGGATTTAGAAAAGAAAAAGATCGGGGGAAGATAAATCCGAGTAAATCCTATTAAATATTTATTAGGATTTATGATAAGATGAACACAACAAACAATTCCTAACTTTAGTGGAGCTTAGAATCAATTAGAGACTAAACTACACCGGGAAATAATGGGATCGCACCTATTCAATAAAAACTGGAATAAAAATTAAAACAAAAGAACAATCAAAGCAACTGAAAAAGCACACAAATTTTTCACTAAGAAATTCCGAACGTTTTATAAAGAACTCACACAAGTTTTCTCTCCACATACAAAGAAAACTTATAGGATTCGCTCCACAATCTTCCCTCCTCGATCCGACGCATGCTCTGATTCATGCAAAAACCGCAAAAAGGTGCTAGTCAAAAAACTCTCGCCAGCCACTCGTCTGAATCATCGAAATCCAACTCTTTGACACTCCTCACATTCATTGGGATGCTACTCAAAGAATACCAAAGGAAGTACACCAAGGCATACCTTACGTCACTCAAAATCAGGATTAAAAACCAATTGCCGACAACAACTGCTTCTACGCGTAGGCGCACAAACTTGGCGTCTATGCATCACACTCTCAAGGAAACATGCACTTACATAGGCACATATGCGCCCAAAGCTAACGCATAGGTGTCAGCTTCTCTATTTGAGCAACACCCAATTGGGCGCTTGAGCGCCCACAACCCAGCACATAAGCGTCGGGTGCTCTGCGCCGCTGCTCACCAAATCAATCTCCACTCATAACAGTTTTACTTGTACTTTAAAAAAATGCCAACTCGAATTACAAAAACATCACGCAGAAGATAAGAGGGATGAAGCAACCTCACGCGAACCTACCATGGACGGCCCAGAAATACCTTTACAACCGAACCAATCTGGAGATAGGGAGAGTGGTGCGCCTCCGACAGGAAGGGAAAAAGGGTCGTATCCAGAGGAATCCCACTAGGACAATACCACCACCAGCAAAGTCGAAAAGACCGCAAAGGACCCAAGCTCCCGACAAATGCCTGACAGGCCTAGTGTTATTCGACTGTTTAGCCCCCCCGACACTCTAGTCATCCGGCCTAAAGGCCACTCAGTCATATTTTGTGAATTTTTCGGGCCAAATTCAAGTATGGACTAAAATACCCCCACCATAGCTAGGCATTGTAGGGGTCCAATATGTAATCTTGTTTAAAACTCATTCTATAAATAGGAGGCTCATTTCATAAATGAAAGTTACACAATATTGACTATTAAATATTGTGACCTTGTTCTCCCTTTTTTTTTTTTTTTTTTTTTTTTTTTTTTTTTTTTTTTTTTGTGATCTCCAACACTCTTTACCTTCAACGGTCTTCGGGACATATTTGAATTCAACAATACCAAGTATTTTTGAGGTTCTCTCCTTCAAAATTTTATAAATTCAAATCTATAGAATTTATTAAATCTCATTTAAATTAAATCTTATTGGCAACCAAACAGCTCAAAGAGAGAGCTAAAAACACTTGCCTCTCCAAATTCATACACGTATTTTCTGTTTCAGCTTCTAGTCCCCACGGGATTCCAGAGCTGTAATGAAGCTGTATCGCGTACAGTTCGCCACGCTGTATTGCATGTGAATTGTGTATAGTCTTTCTCTCTCCTTCTATATAGAGAGAGAGAGAGAATCGGAGGATCGCTTCCCAACAACAACAGCAACAACAAAACCAACACGACCCAAATGTGCAACTGGCAGTTTTAATTTCATCCACAGCGAGGAAACCGAGATGGTGTTGTTCCAGGAATGGATCGGGTAAAGGACAAGATGGGTCTGAGATTTGGGTGCGGAACAATTCTTCTTTTTCTGCGCAAAGCTCCCATCTTTTCCTCCTCCTGCTTTTCCTACTTCTACCATTCACCTGCCTCACGGAGAAAAAGAAGCATTCGACTTGAGATCTTGATGGAGAAAGTTGAGGACTTGGAGAAGTTTGTGGAAGATGGAGATCAGAAGGGCTTCTCTGAATGCAGCAGTGGATGCCAATCTGGCTGGACTCTGTACCTTTGCCACTCACATGACGACAGCCTCACTACCCGCTACTCTCCTCCTCCCAGAAAAGAAGTCTCTGTTCATGAAGATGAAGAAGACGACCTGTCAATGCTTTCAGATGCGTCTTCTGGACCTCCACATGCCACGGAAGAAGAGTGCTTCAACTTTTATTATTCTTCTGATAATGGAGATGGCTGTCTCACTACATTTGCTAGGAATGGGATCTGTAAGAGAAGAAAGGCTGTAGAAGATAACCGCCAGAAGCAGAGAAGACAGCCCGAGAACTCTACCTTCTTTGACGACACAGCAAGTTCTCCCATCCTCTGTTTCTCCAAGCCAAAAAAAAAACTCACTTTGGCGCTTTTAATTTCTGTCTCTTATATGTATCTTCTTGGGTTTTGTTTAGGCTACCAGTAGCATCAGCAGCAGCTGCAGCAGCAAGAACCTCCTTGTACATGATGTCTTGGAACTCTCCTGTGATTTCTCTGCAAACCATTTCAAGGTGCCATTTTTATCATTTATATTCACATTTTTTTCCCTCAAACTTTTTAGCTGCTGAGTAAATGTGCCAACTTCTGCTCAATCTACACAGAGGAAGGCTGCTTTGACGAAGCATATGGTTAATTATCTTCATTCTTCCCAAGCACCAGTAAACAAATAGAGAGGAATAATGGCGACACAGCCTCACTCCTTTTCTTTAACAGGGCTGTAGCAAGAAGACGAGAACGATCTGCTTTAAACAAAAGAGGGACGGAGAGTTATCCCTGTAAAGATCTGTCCATGGCTTCATTTTTTAATATTTTTTTTTCCAATTTATTTTATTATCTTGTTCTTTTGCTCCTAGCCACCTTTTTACCTTTTCTTCTTGTCAACGCAGTAGGAAACATCCTGAACAAGGAAAGAGGAGACTAATAAAATTTGCTTTTTTATTCTGTTGAGCCCTTTGTTATGAAATGAGAGAGGAATAAAAAGCACCATTTGTAAGGGGGTTTTCTTCAATTTTATGTATATATTCAACTCATGCTCTGTTCTAACCACAGCCCACACCACCAAACATATCTTGAATACTACACAATTTTTAAGAATTTATATTTCTGACACTCTAATCATCTTATCATATAAAAATTATTACTTTCATTAGTTTTTAAATGTGAAATAGGACTTTTGATGTATAGATAAAATGATATTAATGTGAATATCATAATTTTGTTGTTAGATATCTCATATGTAAATAAGTAGGAATTGTGGGGTTTGTATGTCGATCTTTCTATTATATTTATTTATGTATATTGAAAGTTAGAAATTTAATAGTCGTCGTCATGATATCCGTCAATGATGTGCAAAATATTCAATGATCAAATTGATGGAAATTTGAGGGAACTCCCATGTCGCTCTCCAAAGGCTAGGCAAGGTGTTTTCTATATGGGTGGTTCTGTCAATAAGGAAAAAAATGGTTAGAAAAACTAGACTTTGATTAATGGAAACATTGCTTTGTTGGTTGGCCGCACTAAAGTAAAATTCTAGGAGAAAAGATTACAATATGAGGTTCAATTCATACACGTGAATTTGTGCCAGCGTGATCTCCCTTAATTGGATGCCTGAATATGGGAAGTCCGAATATGTGATGTTCGCGCGTAATATTTTCTCAAATTCTCAAGTTAAATAAGGGTGTGAAATTGGCTCGAAGATCGTAAAGCTTTAAAAAATTGGATCAAATTTTAGCTTGGATTGAAATCAAATGGAACCATTCAAGCCGAGCTATGGGCCTAATATCGAGTCTGAATAAGGTTGATATATGTGGGTTATTATTTATGAGCTTGGTATGTATTTTCTGAATGTAATATCACGCGCTGAAATTTTCTTTGCCATCGAATCCGATTATATCAATCCTGATGGGATGTGTAACTACCTGTTGAACCAATGCATTGTCCATCGTCATGATGGATGTTGAAGTACCTGACAACATGTTATTATCCATAGCTCCACCAATTCTTTTAACCCAACTAGCTCCAATCTCTTTGCTTTGTGTCCATAATTTTGCCTAAATCACACAAATCTGGCTCTAATACCAAACTATTGTATGAAACAATGTGAAAATAAGATCATAAAATAAGCAAATAATCGAACGTTGTGTGTATTTTTTTCTTCTTCTGTTCAATGCAAATTTAGCGACATCCATGGGTAGAGGTTATTCCATTATCATAAGGTGAGGAGAGAGGAAACATGGTTGAAATAGAATTACAACTCCACTGGCAAAAATCGACCCTAATCCCTTCTATAAATAAGAGAAGATTAGAGTATACAAATCGTAAGATTTCTAATATAGAAAACATCTTGTAATTAGATATTCGCTAATTATATTATCTAATATCAATATTTCTAATATATAAAAGATCAGGTAATTGATCTCCTCTAATTAGTTTACCTAATATAAATCTTCCCATTACACACACTTTCTAATATATAACAATTAGATTTAATAATTTTTATAAAAATCTCCACATCGCTTCCTTTTAAGTAAGTGGGATTAACTAAAATGAGCTCTAATAGCAAAATGATTGTCTTTGAAGGGATCAAGCCTCACATATTTCTTCATTATTCTTTAATGGGCAATCATTCATGAGCTAAGATACATAAATTTTGTCCTATTTGATACTCAAACAAGATACATACCTCTTTTTCGATCGTCAAATAAAAAAGGTGTGATAAATATATATATATATATTTGTGTGTGTGCGTGTGTGTGCGCGCGCGCTCCCATGCCACCCTTTGATTTTACTACACTTTAATGTTATATAATATAATAAAAATTTTGTCTCTTATACTTAAATACTTAGTTTAATTATAACTATATCTCTATTTTAGTATTAATTTTTATAATAACTTTAAAATATCTTAGAGGCATTAATGCGTTTAGGTAAAATATTTATCACATTGAATTTTTAATTTTGTCATTCATCTTCTCAAGTTATGGTTTTACTAGTACGTTGCATGCCTAAAGATTCACGATAGTAAATTGATATTTTGATGTCTTATTATTGCACGAAGATTTAACACACAAACAAATAAATATAAGTATCAAGAGAAGACTCCTAGAACATTTACATGAAAAACCTCTATAAAGGGAAAAAAAAACACAAGGTCTAGCCTAGTTAAAGTAATTCACTGTATAATTACAAGTATATAAGTTCACTCTTCTGTTGAATTAGAAAGATGAAATTATAAAGCCGATAATCACACATGGATAACAATAATTTAATTATAACAATCATAATTGGGCTGCAATAAATGTGGTTATAGGTTTTAATAACAATGATTGACCACAAATGCATAGGTTATGGCTATCGTAGTAGTTGATCAAAAATGCCATAGCTAAAAATTATATTAACGGTAGTTGGCCACAAAGACTGTAGTTGGTAGCAACAAAGGTAATAATTTGTCGTAAAAATTGTAGTCGATGGCTGCAATAACTATAGTTGGCCACAATTGTTGTAGTTGAAAGCTGTAACAATAATAGTTGGCCACAAAATGTCGTAATTAGTTGCTACATATACAGTAGTTTGTCATAAAAATAATGATTGGAAGTTGCAATATTGTATGTTGGACAGAGAAGTCGTAGTTGGTGACAGCAATATCACTAGTTAGCCACATATGTCGTAGTTGGAAGCTGTACTAGCTTCAATTATCCACAGAGGTCGTAGTTGGTGGCTACAAAAGTGTCAACCATCCATAGTTGTCATATTTAGAAGGTATAACAGTACTGGTTGGTCATATAAATCATACTTAGTGACAACAATATTGTCAATTAGCCATAGAGGTCGTAGTTTGTGACTATAATATTTTTAGTTGGCCACAGATGTTATAGCTGGTGACTGTAATGGTGTCAGTTGGCCACAATGATCGTAGTTGAAAATTGTAATAGTAGTAGATGACTATATAGGTCGTAGTTGATGATTGAACCTCTTATGTCTGGGAGAACAATATTATAATTATCCACTAAACATTGCACTTGTCTTTATACAATGTAAAGAAAAATATAGGTTTTAGGAACAACCATCGTACTCTGGCAAAGATGATCGTAAGCATCGATCATCGTTGGTCGAGAGTCTGTGGCGGTAGATGGTGACGACCGTCGATGGCCAATGATGTCTGAGAGGCGGTAGTCGAAAGTGACCGATGGGTGGTATGTGGTCGACGATGGTCGGCAACTACGACAGTCATGAGTTATTGCTGGGTCTTTTAGTCCATAATGGGCTCTGTAATTTTTCTTCTTCTCCTCACTCAAGTGAAGAAAGTGGGTCTATTTATAGCTTTTAGGGGAGGGTTATTTTGATCTTTGGCGAATAACTTCTTATGATCAGACAACCCATATAGACTCCTTGATCATAAATAGTTTTTTTTTATGATTTGAGGGTCTTAATGATCTCAAAATTTAGTAATCTTAGGTTCGTTAGATTCTTCTCATCGAGACACTCAATTTAACTAATAAATTTGCCAAATGTCAAGTTTATTTGATCTTTATTTAACTATCTGAAGTCTTTAAATGTGCTTCCATGACTTGATTTGAACTTAATTGGACTTGAATTGACCCAACTTTTAATATCATTTGATTCTTTCTTATCGGAAAGATGATTATAAAATCGCCGAAATTGAAGCCCCTATGAACTTAAATTTATATTTTAAAAATTTTTTATAAAAATTACATCACAATTCGTGTCATTAACTTATTGAAGAGGCATCAAATGTCATTATCAAAATTTTCCTGTCCTGGCCAATAAATAGATATTTTTTTAATCTGGTCAACATCTCTAAATATATATTTTCTTTTATCACTTCGGCCGGCAACGTCTCCAATAAATAATCGTGCCTTATATTTATTAATAACAAATATATCATGCCCATACATCATTGTCAAAGATAATTCATGGAAAATAGTAATTTTAAAAAAAAATCATTATATTATATTATTTATATATTGAGCTCAGTAATTTGTTTAATTATTTATATATCAAGCTAATAAATCAACCGATCTGCTGCCCCATTACTCCCAAAATCCAAAATGTATAAGCTCCCAATCTCCATAACCCTAGGTTCTCTAACATGCATGCAATTTTCGTGGAAGCATGTGCAGGCAAGGCAGGCACGAGCAGTCATGTGCAATGGCACGCATGTACGTAATCTCACATGTTTGCACGTGCGGATGTGTGCTCTCGATCAATCCAAGGCTCAAAGATATTTAAAAAGAATGAATCTGAACATTGAACGTATTACAGATACGCTGTATATTAAATATATGCTAATATCTTATACTCTTTGAGATTGTTATTTCTTTTGATTTTTCAAAACAAATTTATTTATTATTTTTAAATCATTTAGTAAAAAAAAAACAATTAATTAGTTTCAATAATTATCATCATTGTCTCATAAATATGTAAAAATCTATTTTCAATAGATTAAGTGGAAATATTTTTTTAATTATTTATTTTCTAAAATAAGTTACATATTTACAAAATAATAAATTAATAAAGTAAAAAAAAAAAAAAAAACATCAAACAAATATGTTTTTCATATGTTTTTTAACTTAATTTTCAGCACACAGATCATCACCATGCATATTACAAAACATGATTAAACCTTTACAATAAATTTTTTTCCTAAAATCTTACTTTCATATTGATAACTGCATAATAAATACAAACCATTTGACAAGAGAAGGTCATTGTTATGCCTTGCATCCTCTCAGATATATAAAGCAAACCTAATGAAAATATACCCCTAAAACTAATAAGAACGGCATGAACATCATCATTGACCGCCACTCTCCCCATACTACTTTTTTTTGTTTTTTTATTTTTGTTATTTTTCTAATTTTTGTGGAAGTGACATCAAGGGGATCCCTATGCGGCTATGTTTGCCTTCATCTTAAATGCCTATCTAACAATAATTGACTAAGAAGCCTAACAAGCCTTGAATAATCAAACTAGACTTCCTAATTACAACTTTTCCTAATTCACCAAAATGTCCCCCAATTTTTGTATAATGAGTAGAATCTGTCTTACACTCTTGCATCCATGTCCTCAGAGTGGAACTGCACCAGGAGTGCTCTTTCCTAACCAAGAATAATGGCAGTCTTTCATTATTTCATTCACTTAAAATCTCTTCTTTCCACGAATCTCACTGCTCTAATCCAACTGCAGTCAGGCTAGAATGGTGTAAAGCAGCAGTATTTCTTCCCAAGCTTTCGAATCCTCGCAACGGACTTCGATCCCGATCCATTTGAGCTGCTGCTGCTGCTCGCTGAACTGCCTGAATGAGTTCGTTTGGGTTGGCTGCGCGGATAAAAGCCTGCAGATGTTCCGGTGCTGAATAGCTGCTCAGATTTAGGCGGCGATTTGAAGGCTTTTGATGAGCATCCGTCAGACGTTAATGAATTGGAAAGCACGAGTTCATTGTCCATGGAATGGGTATTATTGATGTTGTGTGAACCTGTGATTCAACGAGTAGGATTTTAGTGAGGATGCTACTGAAGGGATATGAAGGTGAAATGGCTAAAAGAAATTTGGACGATTTGCATGCATACCACACAATTCTTACATATCCAACACCTAAACTTCAATTTTTACATACATGCCACCTTACCAATGCATGAAATGGTGGTATTATTTATGTGATATGAAAGATTTGGGTTGTAGAAATATAGAAAACACAGTTCATGTGTTAGATATGTAAATACATAAGAATTGGGTGGTATGTATGTAAATGCCCCAAGAAAATTTCAATATACCAGCTGAGTGTGAGAGTCTAGTGACCGAATGAGGTGGTTTTGCAGATGAAGCCACATTAAATTGGGAATTCAAGCCCTCATCCTTAATGTTCTTACTGTTGTCATTTTCGAGATCCTTCAGCAAGGCTTCAGCATCAAAACCATCGTCCGAATTACTAGATATGAGACTGGAATCATCTGAGCTGGATGAAGTTGATTCAAGATCAAATATGTCTTCTAGTTCCAGGTACTCTCCCTTCGAGAATTCAACAAGTGCATCCAAATCTGCTGCAGAATTATTGGTCACAAAATCCTGGTTGCTTTTGTCATGCCTCTGTTGGGGAGCACCAAGCTGCTCATGAACGGCAAAAAGCAAGCACATTAAATGTAGTTCAGTCGGATGGGTAAGAAATAAATGGGCATTACGAAAAAATGCAACTTTTTTATCTCAATTATGTATTCAAGGCTATAAAGCTCAATGAATCAATCCTGCAAATCAAATCAATGAAATCAAAATGAACCTGAACCTTCCTTGATTAGAGGTTGCAAGTCCAAATCATAGGACATCTTATCTAAAAGCCTCCCAAACTACTTTCTAGTACAAAGATTTTAGAGCAGTAAGTCTTACTTCTCAGATCAAAGATCAATTAAAATTCTTATCAATACATACATGTTTAGGAATTCTCCAACACTAGAGATTTAAGCATCAAACTTGGGCATGCCCTCAACTTGAGGATTATAAGCTCCTGTCTCTAGGCATCTTATCAAGTGGTACAATAAGCATCAAACTTAAAAATGAGTCAATATTAAACTTCATATCAAGGTTGTAATTCCTATTACTGTGAATCAGAAGCATATAAACCCCAATCCCATGGTTAACATAATATACGCTAAATCACACCTTAAATACATAAAACATAAACCAACTCATGGTTAGGTTTGTCGCAACCCATTAGTCAAGCCTTCTTTATGATAAAAATCTTTAAGCCCTCGCCAGGCGCCACAATGCCAGTAAATACATCCTAAGTAAACCTCAGGTCTTACTTCACCACACTCGTTGAGCATTAAACTTTGAACTTGAGCCACGCCTACATCAAAATATGAATTTCCAATATCTCAGTCTTCTCTGACAGATTTAGAGACACAAGCCTTCATTCCCACACAAAAAATATTTGGGCCAGCATAAAGTTAGTAACCCTACAAGATCAAACCTAAAGCAAAAAAAAAAAAAAAACATAGAGCCAAGTTTGTACCAAATATGCAAGCTTCAAATCTCCATATATTGAGTTAATACCAAATACAAGAACTTCACATCTCAGTTCATCTCTATCAGAAATAGAATGTAAGATAACCCACACAAAAATAAATCTTTGAGATGCATCATATACTTGTAAGTCACATTACTACAAATCTATGCATGAGCCCTGCACTACAATGGAAGCCCAAAATTTCATATAACGCCATAATTAAGAATTTTATTTAAATTCATTGTGTTCCGAGCCAATGCTCAGGTGAACTCAAGGTTCATTACTTTAGGCACATTATGAATTTGTTAAATTGTGCTCAGTTAGGTAGATGATAAACTCAATAGCAACTTCAATCTCAATAGCCAATAGTAGTAGTTGTGTTAAGAACAACTGAGTCCAATATGTGATATGAACTTCAATCTCAACGTCCAAAATTGCATAAATGATATTCGTTTAATGCTCTAGGGAGCTCTACCTTCCAAGTGAATTTAAAATCCAATCTTGAATTATTGAATCAGCCATGCTTCATGCCTCTAAAGCCAATGGTAGTAGTTGTGTTGAAGGCCTGCTAATCAGATTAAAACACTTTTGACCATTGACAACTATACTGCTACCTCTTGAGCCATTTTGATTCAAGATAAAACCACTATCTTATCAAAGGAGAGTGAACATCTTTAAACATGTTCATCACCCCCACTCTACTTGAGATATTTACTAAGAGACAATCCATAATTGTTAATTAGAATTCTTAAACAATACAACTTCTAAGCCGCTTATCATTAGTACGTCTATTAGGTCGACCTACGATGATGAAAGTATTGAATTTTAATCGGATTAACCATCTCCAGCAATACCACCAAATCATAAACCAAATAGCCATCCATACAAAGAGTACGTGACATTTTTAGTCGACATTGTTCTCGATAACATGTACGTAAAATAATTATTCATATAGCCCTACATCAATGAAAAAACTTGACCTCACCAAATCAAATAAATATCGACATCCACAAGATCTTTAGTTTGGCATCTCGGGTAAAAAAAAATCAAAAGATCGTTGGAGTGGTTGACCTAGGTGGCGGATCTATCCAGTTGGCATATATCATTGTTGAAAGTGATGCTGCTAAGAGCTCAAAGCCAACAATTAGAGAAGATGAATATGAAAGAAAGGTTTCCAAAATCAATGAAATGTTAGCTTTATGCTAACAACTATTTTCTTTTAGCATTTTGGCTGCTTAAATAGAGACCTTAAAAATTGCAAAAAGTTCATACAATGATTATAATGTGAGCAAAGTGCCAAAATAGTCCTCTTAACAAATTAAATAAGGTCATTTTAGTAGCAGAGTTTATAAAAGTGCTAAATTAATCCACAAAATTTTAAATGGGGCTAAAATAACCATCACTAGGGACAATTTCAACACATTAAAAGAATATGATGACTAAATTGATAATTTTATAAACTCTTACACTAAAATGAACTCCTTTGAAGAGTCACACGACCATTTTGACTCTTATTAATTATACGATTTTCTCTATAACAAATTACTTTTACTAGAAACAAAATTATATAATAGTTTTATATCATTTCAAAAAAAAAAAACAATTATAAAAAGAAAAGAATTATAAGTCTAAAAAATGAGCATAATATCTTATGTATGAGTTAGAACAAATAAATAAAAAATGTAGAAGAGAAAGACTCCTTGTGTATATAACTTGAAAAAGAATACATATTTATGCATGAAGATCACATGATAAATAAATAAAATAGTGTGTTGCATATTTAAATAGGATTATTTAATAGTGTTAATTTGAAACTAAAAGAATAATTAAGAAATCGTAACAACATTGATCCACCCTTATGGTGGGTTCATCCTTATGCACGCAAGGAAGCTCCTCTTTCACCTTCCTCCTCTTCTTTTGCTTGACATCGACGCTGCCTCCTCATCTCTGTTGACACTGACGCTGTCTCCTCTGCTCAATGACGTTGCTTTCCGCACCAGACTGCGACGTCTTCTTCTCCTTCGCACCAGACCGTGACGTCCTCTTCTCCTTCGCACCAGAGCTGCTCGACTCTACAAGTAAGTCAATTGCGACGATTTATAGGGAGAACTCACCTCTTTGAATTTTGACCCCCCTCATTTTCTCTCTCCTATGTTCGAATCTTCATTTCCTTTCCCTGTCTTCGTCTTCCACTCTTCCTCCCTTCGATTCCCTCTGGAGATAAAACGAAGCGCCACAATATTCCCCACTTAGTAGAATTTAAAAATGGATTGCAAGTCACATCTCATTAAGCAGGTCAACATTATTTATCCATAAATTTTATGATAAAAACTATGGGTCATTCATTAGAATGAAAATAATCAATGTAAGTTAAATACCCGATATAAGGCGACTCAACTATACTTCGGATAACAACACAATTACTGAAGCAAGATAATATGGTAGGAAAATACTCTTATACATAAGAAAATGTCAACCTCATCAAACCTCAACACCATCAACAACAATAAGTTCTTCAAGCTCACTATGAGTAAAGGAATAAACTTGAAGTCGAACAAGTTGTCTTGGTTAAACTTGGATAAGAGCTAAAGCTATAGAATTTATCCTTTTCTGCCCTCTTGCAGTCTTTTGTGAAAGAGCTCCACTTGATTTATGATCCTTAGCAGTCTTCTGGCCACGCAATGGACAATATCTTACTATATGACCAGACTGACGACACCAGTAGTAAAAGTTAGAGCCCATAAAACATTCACTCTTATGTTGTCTTCTGCATTTCGCACAAGTGATTACAATACTTTGAATCGTACCTCTGCTAAAATTGATCAAACGATAGAAACCTTCAATCCGTTTGCTCAGAATTTACTTTTAAAGCTTAAATTCATGTGCTCATAATTTCCTCATAAGACAAGTCGGACCCAGAAAATTCAGTTAAAAAATTTAGCACAACTCTCATCTTTCCTAGTTTTCACCTAAAGCGGTCTTTGATCTATGATCCGTGGTTACTTTTATGTGATCTATATTGACTGGATTATTCTAATTGCGTTAAAAACTTTAACTAAATCATTTTGCATTATTAACCCCATATAGTCCAAATTTTCTCTAGGAAAAACCAATGTAAAAGTCATCTAAAACTCTTTTGCTTGGCAATTGACCTTCAAACTCCAGAAAATCAAAAAAAAAGGATCAACCTTTGCGTGTTTAGAGAGGATTTTCTCCAAGGGCAATGTCAAATTTTCTATGCCTCGGTCCAAAGGACTTTTCCCTTCTAAGCCTAATTTTGTTTTTCTATTATTTGAATTCTTGTAATATGTTCTTTTAAAATTGAATCAGCGCAAGTGAAAAGTTGAATACTAAAATGGATAAACCCAATAAAAAGAGGGACATATCAAGACCGAAGTAATACTCTTTAAAAAAAAAAGGAAGAAATTAACGATATATTCCAAGCATAATGTTTGATGAACTATTCAGTCTCAAATAAGATTTACTCTGTATTTGTACCTCAGATTGGTCTGCAGCATTAGTTGGAGAGCTTCCTTCTTCTTCTTCTAGAAAGCGTAACAGCATAGATTCTACGTGCTCACCATCAGCTTTATCTGAACTCGCAAGGCAGCGATGCGCTGTATGTGGTGACTCTTCTTGCAAGAATACCCTAAATATTGAGTTAGGGTCCTGCAAAAGATGCTCATTGCATAAGCTACGGAATGAAGAAAAATGAATCAACAAATCGTAACATTTATTTTGTATGCTGCAACCTGCGCAGCAATAATTCCCTGACATGCCTTTTGGACTCTCTGATAATGATACATCAGCCAACCTGTTCGATTTCCAGGTGGTGCTTGGCCCATGTAGAATTGCCATGTGGTTTTGCTACCAGCAGCTACGCTCCCTCTGTAAATTGTAAGATGATCTATGAGCCTCCAGCATCCAATTTTCATCACTTTAAATGTGTTCTGTTGACCAGAAGAACATCCATCTTCAAAATTGGACAGATACCATATGTCCTCTGTTGAAAAAGTTAAAAGTGGATCAGCTAGCTAGCTTTTTGTTTGAGATAGTTTTTTTGGTAGCAGCAGTAGGAGCAAAAAAAACACAAAAAAGCAAAAAGAAAAAGAAAAAAAAGATGACTACGTAAATAAGTCACTGAATACTTTGAAATGAAACAGATATCCACTTTAGATAATGAGATAATATTCAATGAAAAAAGAACTTATGAAGAAAATTTGAAAGAGCATACACATTGGACATGTAGGATGTGGCCACTAAGGTAAATTAAAATTTTGAGATATGATGTTAACTTTAGTTGTTCGTTTCATAGTTTTTGTTTTCTTTATTGTTTATTTGATGTAATATGCTTCTATGGATGGTTCCATGAGACTAAGATGTGCTCTCTAGTGTTTTAATTACATAATTAGTTTGATTTAGTGCTGCAAGTTATTTTGATCCATATCTATGATGCCCTCTATCACTTGTTTCCAGCGCTCTAATCGGCAATGAAGCTTTGTTCTGCAGTTCCTGATTTATGCATTGTAAATTGGATTGAGATATTTGGTTTGCAACGGTTGCATTGTGATTGTTTAGACTTCTTGATGCACTGACCTTTGGAATTTACTATTATGAGATGAATTTTGGAATAATTAGTGTTATTCAACGGTTTTAAGGATTTAAAATTAAAAAATGAAATTAGTTTAAATCTACACTAGTTGATCATGTGCCAACCTTATGTACTACCAAAAGTTATGAAGAGTTTATAAATGAACAAGTGACAAGTGACCAATTTAAACCTAGAGTTTTCAAGTACTCCACTTTAGTCCCTAACTGTTAAAAATTGATACAAAGTAATTCCTAAGTTGAATTTCATGGTAAAAGTTAACAACAACCATTAACTTGAGAGTATTTTAGGAATAAGAATTTTTAATAAAAATTATTTTTATTATTACCCTATTTTCATACGTAATAAATTATTCAAATTTATGAATAAGAGTAAATCTTTATTAATCAAATATGGTCATCCATCTTTAAGGAATTTTAATACTTTATTAATAGAATTAATATAAGCCCAAAATAGAAAGAATTTATACTTAAACAAAAAAATTAATATCAAAATATTTTATTATATGACAGCGAAATACATTATTACATATGAAAATAGCTTAATAATAAAAATAAAATTTTATTTTAAATTATTATTCCTAAAATATCCTCGAAGTTGACTGTTGTTGTTTTTAATACTTCGGGACTAAAGTGGAGCACTTTATAACACTGGACACTTTAAAACACTGAGAATAAATTGGTCACTTGTTGATAGTCGAAAGACTATTTTGGGCTTTTATTCATTTATAAATAATAAATTGAAGCATATAATTCATAACTAGTTTCAATTTCAAATTTCATGTTAAGATGCCATAAAAGCAAAAATAGGTAAGAATTATGATTTGCGAGCTGACATGATGAAATTTGGCTAAATTAAAAGTGGGTGCCGGTGGTGATATAAGCACTACTTCCACTACAAAAAATTGAGTTGCGCAACTAAAATGGATATTGATTATCATGCCATTTTTTGTGCCCAATCGGTCTCATAGTTGATTGATTATGAGAAATATATCAGAAGATGTATAATATTATCGAAACAAAAATTTGTGGTGAGATAAAATCTTGCGAGTGATATTTCACAAGTAGTAATGAGTTGTTATATTTTTAGATAATTTTTGGGACATTACGTCTCAATGATATGCGTGATTTTAGCCATGTTAGGATGCCAAAAATTCAAAGATCATTAAATTCAAGATTTGATGGCCAAAATGATTGAATTTAGCTAAATTCTAAGCATACGTCAGAATTAATGTCATGTTTATCTCTTCAAGTCATTTTTGGGACCTCACTAGGCTTGGAGTTGCCCTGTTATAAGATAAATTTCAGAAATAAATGTAATGTTATGTGAACAAAAATTTGGGAAAGAAATTAATCCGACAAGTGGATGTTTCTTTAGTAGTAGTGATTGGTGATAGTTTAAAGTAAAGCATGTAAAAAATGGTGCTCTTCCAAGTTGTTGTGGGTGTTTCCAAGGCTCCACAACTTCATCAATCTCCCACTTAGAAACTGAAGCAACCAACACCAGTCCTCCAAATATGCACCTCCATCTGGTAATATTGTGAAATCTCAAATCTGATTTGACTCTAAAAACTGCATTTCATCATCCATGACAAGCTCACATTCCCTTAAATCTTCAACTTAAGTGGTCTCCTTAAAGCACTCTAGTTCACTACTATCAATTAGCAACACATAGTGTAATGAAGCAAAATACTAGTGTGTCGGTCGTATCACTCTACTAGACCTTCTTACTTCAATAACAAGTGAATGAGGAACTTTCTGTGCTCCATCTAGTTGATCACTTCTTTTTCTATCCTCTCGATCACCAATGTCTTCTATTTCAACATATTTAGACTCTTTAGAAGAAACTGATGAGCTATCCTGAGTTTTGACCATGTCCTTGTACATTTCAATTTTATTGAATATGATATATCTGCTCCTGATAAATTTCTGATTTTGATAATCCTAGAATTTATACTCAAACTCATTTGAGTCCTATCCAATGAATGTGTACGTGATAAATTTCAAGTCAAACTTACTCCTGGACCCTACATCAAAATATACATATGCAGAATACCCAAACACTTTTAAATAAGATAGAATTAAATAATTGTCACTCCAGGCTTCTTTAAGTAAGTCTTCCTTCAAAGATATTGATGGATCACGGTTAATCCGATAAACAGTAGTGTTTATTACTTAAGCCAAAACTATTTAAGTAAGCCTGTATGCAGTCTCATGCTCCTAGCATGTTCCTTGATTTTCTATTCATACACTTAGTCACACTATTTTGTCGTGATGTCCTTAAGACAATGAACTCAAGCTTGATCCCTTATATAGCGTAGAACTTCTCAAACATTTGATCCGGATACTCGCCCACAGTATCTGATCTGAAACACTTTAGCTTCAAGCCCATCTTATTTTCTATCAATCTTTCACTTCATAAATACTTCAAAAACGTAATATTTTTGCTTTAAGAAGTAAACCCATACCTTTCTGTGTGATTATCAATAAACATAACAAAGTAGCAGGATCTTCCAATGGACTGAAGTGGAGTAAAACCCCGTATATCAGTATGCACTAAGTTCAATTTCTTTCGCTTCACCGCTGACCCGCTTTTAGAGAATGAAATTTTCTTCTTTTTGTCATATACACAATCTTCACAATAGTTCAAATATATTGATTTCAAACCCTAAAATTTATTCAGTTTAAGTAGGAACTTCATATTTTTCTCACTTATATAGTCAAACCTATGGTGTCATAGGCCTACATCCACCTTGGTTCCAGCCACATTAATATAATTCTCTATTTCATTGATCAAGTAAATAGTGCCTTCATTGTTGCCCCGAGCCATGACCATTGCCCCCTTAATTACCCTTCCACGAATCACCAATAAAAGTAATTATGAATCATGACTTTGTTAGTTGGCTCGCAAAGATGAGATTTCTCTTCAAGCTTAGAACATGTCTAATTTTAGTAAGCTTCAAATTGTTCTATTTGGAAAATTAATATCCACATTACCATTTCCTAAGATATTGCAGGTTTTATTATGTCCCAGATAAACCTTCCCTAGATTACCTTAAATTTAATTTGAATACATCTTTATTGAGGCATGCGTGACAAAAGACACATGAATCATTTTGGATTTCGTCAGTAAAGTCATTTTTAGAGAGATTCTTTTCATGTCCTCCACCGCTAGCTTTCTTTAGAGTTTTACAGCTCTTTTTGAAATGTCATTTGACCTGGACTTTCCTCTTTTGAACTTGAATATGTATTTGTCTGAATTCCTACCTAGATCCCTTTCTCTATTTTTTACATTCAACGCAAAACCTAAAGATTCACCATTCCTTGACTTCCAATGAACTTCTCCATTCAACACCAACCACATGATGCCATTGAAGTTCAACTTTGAATTCCTAGAAGAGTTACCCATCTTCGTGACCAAAACATCCAAGCTATCTAGCACTGAAGATAATGCCAACGGTGACTTGGCATCATCATCAAACTTGATCTCTAAAGAAAACAATTGGCTTGTTAAAATATTGGAATTGTTCTTTTTCACAATGTTCATGTTGAACAAACTCATCATTAGAAAAATTTTATTTGTAACAGAAGTTTTTCGTATATCTTTGTCAGTGTTTTCATGAGATCCGCCGTGGTTTTCTCATTCACTATATTGAACGCAACATACAAGGAAAGTGATAAACGGATGAAACCTAAGGTTATTCAATCGGGCACCTCTCACTCCTCCATATTCATAGACTCAAGCTTCTTAGTGATTCGTTGTAGTGACAAGTATAGTTTTTTCTGATACAACAAATCCTCCACAACGCAAAGTTCGTCCGATTGAAAGTCTCCACTTTGTACCTTGCTTTGTCGGTCATTGCTTCCACTCGAATCAAACCTGCTCTGATACCACTTTTTTGAGATAGGGAAACTCATAAATATCTACTAAGGCTTTGATCCAATTAGAATCAAAACCACATTGCAGAATAGGATCACGCTGATTCAAGAAAACCAAAACAAGATATTGAAATGGAAACATAACAAAAAAATAATTCAGAAAAATACCCTAGGATTTAACAGGAAAAACCCGAGAATGGAAAAAAATCACGAAACCACGTCATTTTCATTGAGAAATTCAAAAAATGTATAGAGAACTCGTTTTAAATCTTCTCTCTGCAAGCTATGAAACTTATAGAACTTCGCTTCAAATTCTTCCTCTTAGTCTCACAAGAAAAACACAAGTCAAAATTCCTGTCTTCGACCCTTCTTCTCTTCACGGAAACCTTGTCCAAGAAACGCACGTGCAAACATTAATATCAACCACTTATGTTTGCTAAGCTTTATTCTCCGCCACTAAATAGTGGTGCATCATGATATTCGACAGAGTAGAATTCAAGAGCAGACACATCTCAGCTGGACAGCTCGTCAAGGAAGTTATCCTCTCGAACTTTGGAAAAGCTCTTAGTATTCTTCCACTAGGATTGTATTTCCTGCCTTCATTTCACGAGTACTTGAGGTGTCACTTTTCTTTTTTCCTCCAGATTCTTCTTGAATCAATCCTTTTGCATAGCCATCACATTCATCCTGTCAAATAAAAAGCATAATAAAATGTTGATATGCGTTGGGTTTCTACATTCACCATAGAGTGGATATTAAATTCGGATTTTCAGTGTCAACACCACCTTTTGCAGAAAGAAAGAACGGTAATAAAATCAAAGATGAAGAGCCTGCGGAAAATTCAATTAAATTAGGAAATAAAAGCAAAGATCAGCCATAAAATCAACCAAACCATATGTTTAAATAGTCTCGTAAGGCAAAGATGCAAATTTAATTAAACTGGTAACTCTTATGAACGCTAACCTGGTGAATTCCAAGGTTCAACGCTGAAAGGGTTTACTTCAGTGATAATGTTGGAAGGAACAGGATCCCCAGCTTTCCTCCCCCCCAAGAACAGCAAGACCTCTTCATCCGTAGCGCTGACATTAATATCAGGTCGAAGAGGGAAGGGAGCTGGCGGGCACATCGCAACTTCTACATCAAGAACCAAGCAAATTCAGCTCTAACAGTAATATATATCTTCCAATCAATTACTTAAAAATAGCGTCCTCCCAAGAAATAATCCAAAAGTAGAGCAATACAAAACAACGGCTCCGTCAGAAACCAGCGAAATGAAAGTAAGAAATAAATGGAAACTAATTTCCTCGTAACAAGAAGATTACAAACGATATATATTCAACGAATTCAACTAACGCAATTACAAAAAATAAAACAGCAGCATCAAACGTTGCGATCTGAAAGAATCATTACATAAAACAACGGCCTCGGTGAACTGATAATTCACTTTCCATATTACTACTTGAGATATACAATTATCTACACTAAAAAGATTCATCAAATCTTCAAACAAAGAATCGTTTTCAAAAGCTCGACAACGTAATACCCATCAAAACCTCCGAAAAGTTTGTTGATCCAGTGTCATCCAAAAATCAATAACTCAGATAACAAGGAAAACACTACTCGATCACCCATCAGTCTGATCCAGAAAACCACCACCAGCTTAAGTAATCCACAAAAAGAATCTTGGATCGATGATTCGAAATCCCGAATCCGAATCCCGATCCCAAACAGAATGGATACATTCACCAATCCAAATCGAGATGACCAGCGATCAAATCGAAGAAGTGTAAACTGACCGTAAGTACGGCGTCGGCGCACTCTGACTGAACGCTCTCCGCTCGCGCTCTGTGCGCCTCCGAGAGCTTACGCGGATTTCGGAGGCTCAGATACCCGAATTAAGGAAAGTAAGAGAGATTGTTGTCCTACTACAATGCAACGTAGATAAAGGTCATCAAATGGACGGTTTTGATTAATTGTTTCATGTTGTGATTTCGAACGCAGATGCAAACGAGTCAACTAGTCAAATATGGGCGACCAGAGATTCTATTTGTGTTTGGCTCGTTCCTGAGCATCTCAAAATAAATTTGTTCATTTGTTCGCTTAAATTTGGCTCAGACTAGCTCGAGCTCAACTCGTGAGCCAACTCCTGTATACATAAGTGATTATTGCATCAATACAGCAGACATAAATTTACATCTAGTGTCCAATGGGCATTTATCACGTGACAGTGAGTTTCACTGTATATTAGAGGGATGTGATCCACTTACCACGTGACACACGTAAATTTTACGTCCCGAGTCGAAATGTAATATTTTTTCCTCATGAAGACCAGACAACATAGACATGTAGTGTTAAAAATGAGGATTTTCTTAAATAAAGTTTTCTCACAAATATGGGCCCAAGCAAATGTAAGAGTAAATTGACCCAGGGTTTTGGTTTTTTTTCTTTTAATTGGGCATTTATTATGTATTTAAAATTTAACACCTAGATAAAGGTTAGCATTTACATACATACCAACTAATTCTTATGTATTTACATATCTAATACCTAAACTTTATTCATTTACATTTAAACCACCCAAATTTTTTACATGCATTTTTTAAAAATAGTGTATAAAAATTTAATATAAAATTTATATTAATTATTATTATTATTATTTTATTATTTAAATATTTTGAGTCAAAATGAGTTGAATATGAACGAACAATCATTTGTTTGCACTCCTCTCATTTATAAATTGAACTAAAAAAATTGCTTGTGTTTGACTCTCTTTCTTAACGAACACAAGCTACTTAACTTGCTAAACACGAGTTTTTCGTGAACAACATACATTTTTTATAACTCTAATTACTAGTGACATTTTGTTCTTATTATTTTTTTAAATGAGGGTTAAAGCATAAATTAATTTAGTTATATATAATTTCAAAATAATCTTAAATATTTTTATAAACTAAGCGCATGTTTCTGATTAAGGGTCTGTTTAGGGCAGTTGCAACTTATCAATAATCTGCTGATAAATACCTGATCTATATAAGTTGTTGATCAGCAGCTGATCCGAATAAACTGGTTGGTTGTTTAGTTTGTGCGTTTGAAAGATAACTGATTTGGAACTTTTTCTAGATAAATATCCATTCAGCCTTGTGCAGCATCGTTATTTGCAGCAGAACTGTAATGACTATATGTTTGATAATTTTGAAGTAAAAAATCACTTCAAAACAGTACAAAAAATCTGAAATCTTCTGTCACTCTACCGACATGTCAATTTAAATCTCCTCTAATAAAATTTTTTTTCTCCAAAAGGTATCATTTGTATTAAGGGTATGTTTGGGGCAGCTACAACTTATTAATAACCAGACCCCCAGCACTCAACACAACCACAGACTAAGACCATCACAACCCACGGACCACCACAAGAGGGGGCGCCACATAACACACCACAACAACCTCATCCTCAGCACACAAAACAATCACAGCCCGAGGCAACCACACTAGTCTATAAAAAGAGTATTATTTTGAGAGTAGCTTAGCAAAAATCAAATTTACTAATTAGATCATATGTAGCGAAATGATTCACAGAAAAAAAATATCATTAAGAAACCAAACTTAACAACAAACCACAATACATTGATAAGAAATAATACATTAAAGAAAGACTATTATCATATTCACTTTTTCATTACTTCCTTTATTTATATCATCACATAAATTAGCTATTTTCTACTACCATAAAAATACACTGTTTTATATTCATATTTAAAAGTAACTCTTTGGTCTCCCCCTTCTTTGAAAGTAATAGCTGTTAGAAGTTGGAACATAAAAAACAACTGTTAGAACGCTAATTTAAAGTTAATAGGTTCTACTACTTATCAACCACCAAAGCATGAGAACAAGCCATTTTTATCTTTACCTACATACACCATAAAAGCAGAGCACACATTGCTTAGTGATTCATTACAAAGTTTTAAGAAATGTAAAAAACATTTGCATTATGTAATGTAGAACACTAATAAGTACTAAGTTTTAATAATATGTTTTATGCGAAGCGGAGGAGGAGAAAGTTAGGAGTTTTCAGGGATATGTGAACGATACGATCACCTTGGGTAGCGGAGGAGTAGGAAGATGGGAGTTTCATAGCTCTATACTCGCCAAGATCGGTCGAGCGGAGCGGAGGAGGAGAAAGAAGAACGAAGGGTAAGCGTGTAACATCTGTAGCCATAGGGTTGATCCCGTAGCCGTGTTTATTATAAATGCGAATGGCCTTTTAGGATATGCGGATGAAACACACGAAACGAACTTCTAAAGTTGCCTTTTCAAAACTCAAACGCTCCAATAAACTGCCCCAAATGGGCCCTAAATCTCTTGAGTCATTTTAATCAAACTGTTTTAAAAAATTGATGTCATATTAAAAATTGTAAGCCATGCATTTTGATGATTTTTCTCTCATACAAAATCTATATTAAAATTAAATTTTACAATTAAAAATCATAAAATAGTTATTACTTCAATTTTGAATGCATTCAAATGTTTCATCACCCCGAAAAACCCATGTTCTTTGTTTGCCTTGGAGGCATCGTCGGAAGTTCATTGAACGGAATGTCATTTTCTCGCCTTTTCATATCATGACATCTCTATCGCTTGGGCTTATCGTTCCGCTATGCTCCACCATTCTTATTATCGCAAAATTTGAGTTGCTCTCTTAAAATTATGTTTATTAATATAATTTTTTTTTCTATTCAAACTCTTGTTCTTTTTAGTAACTGAAACGTTATAATGATATTTATGTTGAAATTATTTTTAATAGAGCTCTCAAGGAAGAGGAAGCTCCCTCAAAGCCTTAATCCATCCCTTCACTTATATTCAAGCATACTAATTTTGTTTGCAAAATTTAAAATATTATTATAATTTTAATGAATAATTGTGCAATCAACTAACATAAATTTGTCATTTTTTCATCCAATTGTTAGAATTTTGTTAAATATATACATTAATCGAACCAATTCAACAAAGTCGTTGTAGTATAGTGGTGAGTATTCCCGCCTGTCACGCGGGTGACCCGGGTTCGATCCCCGGCAACGGCGTCCTTTTTAATGTGCGAATTTTTTTATATTAAAATAAGTAAAACACGGCTAACCCTCGTTCATATTTGCACGTTTTTTTTTTTATTTTGAACTATTTCGACAGAGAAATAAGACTTTAATTTTTATTTTAAATTCAATAAATAATGAATTACGAATAGAATACATGATTTAAATAATATAAAATTAAATTTTGGAAAAATATATATTTATGAGACTTTTTCTGATTCTTGCTCGTATAACCTTTGATTCTGTTGATTTAAATTTGTCTTTACACTCGGTTTATCATTAATATACTAATTATAAAATTATAATTACATCTTTATCTTGAGACCGGCTGAGCAATTCATTTTAAATTTGTCCCTTTTTCTGTTGCTTTAATTGTGAGATATATTACAGTAATTAAATTTTAAAATAAAAAAAAATGATATTTTATCCAGAATAATTTCAACTGTGTTTAATTAGTAACCAACACCTCCATTTTTCTTTTGGGTTGCCGCCGTTAATGATCCGTTTTCGAGTTGAGTTAGGGTTGGTTCGAATAGATTTAATGTGGTTCAAAATCGATTCTTGGCTCGTTATATTGAATCAATCTTAATCCGGCTTAGAATCGAAACGGCTCCAATGGAGTTGGTTAGTTGGATTCGTCTCAGCTCGGAATTGGCTTGATCCGGCTCAAATTGAAACTAGTTGACTCAAATTGAATTATTTGGATCAGTTTCAGCTATAAATTGGCTTCAAAATGATAATGTAACATTCGTGATGTTGGAAATCCTTAAGAACACTGAAGGACTACAAGAGAGGCTAGAGAACAAGAAAGAATGTTGTGGTGTATCGTCATTGGATGCAAGCCTCTTCCTCGAGGGAGAAATAACACTGATACGAGCTGCTACAACAAAAGAAGTGTCACATGCACAACTCTGCATTTTCAAAGGAGGGCATGCAACAAACAATCACGTTTGTCCCGCTCATTAGTTGTGCATGTTATAATTTTTAGAAATAAAAAAAAATTCTACAAGCTGATCTCAAATTACTTCGAGCCGATCTATGCATAGCTCGAAATCGGCTAAAAAAGTTCCAATTAAAAATTTTGACTCGTTTATTTAGTTTTATTCTTGATACGAGCCAATATTTGAATCGAGTTTCAAATGATTAACGATCTTCGAGCTCCTTTCCATCCCACATCCCTACTTATGGGATGCCAAATCTTTCATTCAAACGCACTACCTATGAATTGTAATAAATGAGTTCAAGGCATACAATTAATAATTAAATTATAAAAGTTCTTATAAATAAATAAAAAATCTTATAGATCAGCTATTATTATGCAAAAAATGATGGAAAAAATCGTGTTCTATAGCATATGTTAGTATATAAGGACGCAGCAAGCGATGTAAAATATATTTTAAAGCAAACATGTTTGTCCCGCTCATTATATGTTATGCAAAGCTGACATGGTAAATGATATTTTATGCATTGATATGAACAAGTTTGGCTTAAGATCTAAGGATGTTTAAAAAAACAAAAAAAGTGCTATATAATTATTTAATGAATTTTAAAATGATTATTCTATCAGCATTTATCTTTTTCAATAATCTTACAAATTGATTGATGAATACTTAGGATATGTTAAATTCTACTGTAATTATTAATATTGTGAGAGTTATAAATAACTCAAAATGGGATGTAGAGCTTCCCACAATGGCATTTATGATGCAAATAATAATTTTTGAAACACATGTGCTTCTTGTTTTGGTGGCTCTTCATCCACTTGACTGAGATAATAAGGTCTTGTTCATTCAAATATCATTTCGACAAATCAATTTGAGCCAAACTCAGGTTGAGGATCATTGCTTGTCAATGGAGTACAACTAGTTATTGAATGGTTAACATTTTCATCTGAAGGACAACAAATCTAATAATCATGTTTAAATCCATAACGATATAAATCATATCTAACTTTACAGGCGCTAAGTGTGCTCATTTATTATGTTCCTAACATAGAAACCGAAACCTACCCTCATATAAATAAGTCGAAAGTTGAGATGCCGCTTGCACGATTTTAGCAACGTTCAAGAACTCTTTAGTGATTCATTTTTTATCTAGAAATACTCTATTGTGGCTTTGATGCATGAATGTACATAAATAACCTATATATTTGATGTTGTGTGATACATAAATACAAATTAGTTTAGGTGTAAGACACATAAATACATAAGAGTTGTGTAGCACGTCTGCAAATTTGCCTTTAAGAAGTGACATTTACATGCACAACACATAGTTATTATCTCTTCATATATATCTCAAACCTAAACTTTCATATTTTTGCACATAGCACTCAATATAAAAACACACTTAATTTAAGTTTAATTGGAACTATAGAGAGGTTTGGATTGAGGATATCCATTCATTAAGGCTAATGAGAGACTTTGAGAGGTCACCCAGAAGAGAGCCAAATCTACAAGCAAATACTAGGAATTTAATTGATCATATCTTCCTCATTATAAGTGATGTTAACAATAGATTTAAACAATTAGATACCCATAAGATTTTAATTTTGGTTTTACTTTTAGGCTTCTCTTCTAAGCATTACTTTTATGGGCTTTTATAGAATCAAATCTAGCTTTATTTTGGCTACAATTTGATCAATCATTTAATTTGAGTAGATAAATTTGCCATAGGTATGCTAGATCAATTTAAAAGCAAGCATGTTATAGACACTTGGATTGGGTAAAATAAAAACCCTAGAAGCAATTTTATTGTTTTAGCTCTATAATCATGATCTTATAATTAACAAACTTAACTATGGACCCAGTTGAGCTGAAGAGACCTAAGAAGCTATGAAACTTATAACTGTCCCAAGTTTTGCTTGAAGTAGATTAAATTTATATGCATAACAAACATATATTATGTATTTACATATCTCAAAGCTAAACTTTCATATTTGCAGGCATAAGACTCAAAATTAGGATTTAACCGTAGTGTCCTGTACATGAATATGAAAGTTAAGGTGCAAGATATAGAAATACTTAAGAATTATGAGCTAGATATGCAAATTTTTTTATTAAATTTTAGGAGTTAGATATGGAAAATCATAAGAGTTGAGTCATGCCCGTGCATGTAACACGGTATACATAATAAATCTTAAAATGCGAAAAATCTAATGGTTCAAATTAAAAATAAAACTTTAAAGAATATTTGAATCGAGTTTAGCTATAACTTGACTCTAAAAACACTAGAAATGGTTAACTGTGGTGAATCTGCGAATCAAAGGGGGTCGGTCGAATCTAGAGAGGTTTATCGCTCGCGAGAGAAAATGAGAAATGAGGATGTAGGTTTGATATAAACAGGTTTCCTGATAGCTTTTTGACTGCCCTTGATCATAGGCTTTTAATTTATTAATAAGCGATGGTAGGTATAACAGGTTAATATATACGGACAGTCAGATATTGAAAATTTATAACCCACAGTGTTTATTTTTGACAGTCAATAATCATCGTTTTCTACTTTGGTATGAACCAACGGTCGTGACTGTAGGTTATTAATTAAAGTTTGTCGGTTATATGTTTCACTAAAAACCAACAGTGTGAACCCGTAGAAAAATTATCAGTTATATTAATCATATGTAAGCCGCTAGAAATAAAGAAAAAATTACCAACTCAGTAGGGGTCGTTGGTTTTCTCATCAATTTTTGTTGTATTTTTGTGGCGTGTGTACAAGGAAAATGCGATTGACCTTATCGAATAATCTTGTATCAGACATGTGTCGAAAGATCTAAGAGAGACAAGAATATCCAAGATAAGAAGAAAACAACTAAATGAGAACTAGCCGACAGACCGAATTGAAATCCACCAAAGGGCCGGTCAACTGGAGAAACGACCAACTTGGATGACTGATTGCCTTAGAAGTGCATTAGGCAAAGACCGATCCACACTCAAAGCCTGACCGGCACTCATAGTTGATTGGCAGACTCGACCAAAGGCGATTAAAGAAGATTGACCGGTCAGAAACATGTCAAGGGCATGTCGAGCGCTTATTTGTTAATTCTCGATTATTCTACTTCACTATAAATAGAGGAAGAATAAATGTAATAAGAATTGGTTGTTGGAATTTAATGTCAAAATACTTCTTTCCTAAAGTTCTCTCTCTCTCTACTCTTGCTCTCTCTCTCCTCATTCTCATTTACGCTATATTTCTTAGGTGTGATTCATAGTCCTAAAATTTTTATTCTTCATTTTATATCAAATTGAAAACTAGGCGAGTTCACATAAACAACCCAGAATTCTTATGTATTTACATATCTCACATCAAAACTTTCATTTTTACGTACAAATTAAGGTGTAAGTATGAAAGTTTAGGAGTGAGCTATGTAAATACATAAAAATGTTGTGCTATTTATTTAAATATCCCTAAAATTAATTTATTGGTTAAACCCCCAATTCAGGAATAAATTGTGCCAATTGGGTTTTAATAAATGAAGGCACGCTACATGACTAATTAATGTATATACAAAAAAAAAAACTAATCCAAAATCCACATTGAATTATTATGTGTTTGACCATAAAAAAAATCAAAATAATTTATTAAAATTTCTATCTTTTTTTTGTTTTAATTTCTAAAGTTTATATTGTTTTAGTTGAATTTTTCAGCTCCAAACACTAAACTTTATTATAATTGCACACTTACACATAAACTAATCATTTAAACGCGGTCAAAACACATTTATAGATTTATAATTTGCAAATAAAATTATTAATATTGCCACTGCAATAATCAATTAATCAATCACTAAAACGAAAAAACTTGGGAGTACTGAGCAGCCACGTGCTGAGCTCCATCCCGCAGACCCGTACGAACCAATCCGCCACCGTCTGCATCTCTTGTCACGGAACGGGACGGCCTGCGGTCAACGGAAGATTAAGCATCCATCTCGATTAATTTAATCATACTTAAGCTAAGCGCGCCCGTTAATATTCACCCCAACCTGTACTTAATCCCGAGCTTTGTTGGACAAAAGTCATTCATTACTGGAGCTTGGAAGGTGGATGAAGATATAGAAGGTGAGGAGACGACCGCAGAGCAAAGTAGGAGGCTCTCGGCAGTTGCTGCTCACGGGAGAATCCATCAAAGTTCCTTTTTTTTTTTCCTGATTAAAGGGGAGAAGAAGGGAGAAGAAGAGTTCTTTCTTGTTGGAGTTTGGGAGGAGAGGGTGGGAGAGGATGCCTTCAGGAGGGGGGAGACTGCCGACATGGAAGGAGAGAGAGAACAATAAGCGGAGAGAGAGGAGGAGGAGAGCTATTGCTGCGAAGATTTTCTCAGGGCTAAGAACTCTGGGCAACTATAAGCTCCCAAAGCACTGTGATAACAACGAGGTGCTTAAGGCTCTGTGCATCGAGGCCGGTTGGGTAGTGGAGGAAGATGGTACCACTTATCGCAAGGTCTGATTTTGGTTTATCTTTTTGTTTGAATCGGATCTTGGTTTTGACTTCTCTTTATCAGATCTAGTTTTTTTTTTTGGTCTTACTTTCTTTTATTTACAGCGGTTTTCTTCCAGGTTTTGGTGGAATTTTGAGTTTGTTTTGTTCTCGGATTGAGCTTGTGATGAACTTGGATGGGCGATCTGTTTTGCTCTTTAATTTTCTACCAGATTGTCTTCTTCTTCTGTTGTGCGGCTGATCTGTTGTTACAGAACTTGCATTGTTACTACGATTTCTTTGAGAAAGATCTAATTTTTGTCTTTCTGATCTTGTGCTCGTTACTGAAGCTCCGATTTTTAGCTATACAGAAAGAAATATGGCACGTCCTGCTGCTTTGACTGTTACCCTTGATAATTTGTACTTGTTGTGGTCATCAACTCTGAACAGCTAGTGTTTACTGTTGAGATTCAAGCCTTTTCTGCTTGTTTTATTCCTTTCTGTAAGCTTTTCCTTTAGTTCATAGCCAGGCAAAATTACTTGGTTTGGAGATTTGTTTTGTGAATAGTTTTCCTGCTTTCTTTATCAAGCCTTAGAAGAATCTTAAAAAAAAAAAAAAATCAGCCAGTGAAGATATGCGAGAGTAGGAGAGAAATCAAGAGGGTGTTCTTCAAGGCTGTGTTTACAGGCTTGGAAATTTTAAGCTCACACAATGTCTTAAAACTGCTATCTGAGGAATTATTTCGAGTTCAAAACTTAAAGCTGCTTATGAATGTGTTCTTTCCTTAAAAAAACGTATCTTTTTTTAATCAAATTAAAGTCACTGCCTTTCTTTATTAACAAAATCAAATCTTTCCAAGGTTTACTGAAATGTTCTTCACTGAATTGGAACTTGTTGCTTCAAATGCAGGGAAGCAAGCCACCACTACCGCCGCCAGAGGGGGCTGTCACCGGCCCCCCCTCCACCAACATCAGCCCATCCACTTCACCATACCACCTTAGTCCACCATCCTCACTCTTCACCAGCCCCGTTCCTTCCTACCATGCCAGCCCCACATCTTCATCCTTCCCAAGCCCAACCAGACGCGAGAACACTACTAATCCAAGCTTCAATCCATCCCATCTCCTCCCCTTTCTCCGAAACCTCTCCTCTCTCCCTCCCCTCCGCATCTCAAACAGTGCTCCGGTGACCCCTCCCCTCTCCTCCCCTACATCTTCTCGTCCTCTGAAGCTCAGGAAGCCTAATTGGGACATCCCCACCTGCCGGAATCACCTTCTCGTAGCAGCCTCCGCCCCAACCAGCCCAACTCGCAGCCGCCGCCTTCCGCACCACCCTGCAACCATACCTGAATGTGATGAATCTGATGCATCAATTGTCGATTCAGGAAGGTGGGTAAGCTTCCACAATACTGCTCCGGCTTCTCCCACTTTCAACCTGATCAATCGAGGAGCTTCAGTTGCTGAGGCTGCAGCTGGTGCCGGAGGGATGGCTGCAACAGAGTTTGAATTCGAGAACAGGTGGGTGAAGCCATGGGAAGGGGAGAGGATCCATGATGTTGGAGTAGTAGAGGAGCTGGAGCTGACCTTGTGTTTGGGCAAATGATTAAATTTTTATTTTTTATTTTGTTCTTTGGTGATCTCAGTCAGTATTAGCCTCTTGGTTTCAGAACGTTGGATCTTAGTCATGTAATGTGCAGCCTTTTTTCCTTTTCCTCTTGAAATTATTCAATTGCTTACAATTTCTGGTTAATTTGGTAGCATTTTCTTATCTAAAGCTGAAAGCTTTGTAAATGGCAGGGGCCTGTTAAAACAGCTTCATCTCTTGCATTTCGTCAGCCAATTTTATTTCTGCAGGAAACTTTAAATACAATTTACAAAAATATTTCAAATATAGAATCGTTCAAATAACAAAATGTGAAAGGTTATAGATATAAATAGTGGATCTCCGGCTATTGATATTTTATCCTTCTAATGAAAATCAAATAAATCATTAATTAATTAATGTCATTTATTTATTTGAGCATGAGATCTTTCCTTAACTGTGAAAATCAAATCAATTAGATGGTCTTCAGCAGCTGTTTGGTTTGCTTAAAAAGGATTGCCGTGTAAATGAATAAATTAATATATTGCATCTAAAATATTTAGTGTCCAATTAAATCTGTGTTTGGTAATCTATTTTGGGATTTTAAAGGATTGTTATGTTGGCTAAAATAAAAAATTGTAATTAAATTTTGATTATTTTAATAATATGATTGATATTAATTATTAAATTAAATTAAAATTTTATTCTAATTGTATTAACTAATAATTAGTTGTTCAATAAATTAAGTTATTATTAATAAAAAAATTATTAATTTAATTATTTGTTAAGCAATAATTTAAAAGTAATTACTTATGAATTAGTTAGTTAGTTATTGTATTAATTATTTTTTTTTGAATTTTTTAAAATAATTTGAATTTTAATATGTATTATTATTTATGGATTAATTGTTAAATAATTCCATGTAAATTTATCTAATTTTAATTAAGTTGATAGTATATGAATTAATTATAAATTTAATTAATAAATTTAATTTAAGTAAAAATAAATTTTGACAACAAACTTATCTCTCCTCCTCCTCTCTATCTGAAACCCTCGCTTATTTCACCTCTTTTCTATTACCCAAAATCATTGCCTTCATGACCAAACCCTTGTGATATAGTCATGTTAGAACTAATTGTGAAGGCAATGACGAGATCACTACGTATAGAGTCCTAAAACTCCCATCTTTTCCTCATTTCGCTCTGCTCCTTTCTACTTGAAACCTCCTTTTGGGGCAAAGCACCTGACCCAAATTTACTAAATCCACCGATTTACGGGTTTTCATAAAGTTGGGATTTACGGGCGAAATCCGTGAAGTCTGTATTTATCAAATCATCAGCATTCTCTTGTTAAAACTGACTGTGTGGCAAGATTTAGGTTAAACACAAGTTAAATTTTGCTCTAAATCCGTTACCAGACAAGTTCTTAGGACATGATTAGTAGTGCATATTTAAGAAATCCAATCAAAGTCAAAAAAGGTCAACTTCCATAGATTTATGAAATTTCAGATTTAAGATTATATATTTTGCCTTTGATTCAACTTAAATAAGTATTTACTAAATCCAGAAGGAGGGTGAATTTAAGAGATTTATGATTTATATATTTACTTAAATCCTGCTTGCAGTCAAACATTCTCTTAGGAATGTTTGATTCAATATGAAATCAATATAAACTTTGCATTGTCTTGTTTAGCTCGAAGAAAAATTAATCCATCGAAATATAAGTTCTTAAAGTTAGCTATGGTGAGTGGTCAATAGTGGTGATCGGTAGCGAGCAACAACAGCAACAGTTGCATGTTGATGGCTAGTTGATTACATGGGTATCAGCCATCAACCGGGGCAGGAGTGGTGGCAAAGGCGAGAGCAAGTAGGCGGTGGGGGCAGTCAGGCGGCAGCAACGACGAGGATACGGTGACGATCAGGCGGCGGCAACTACCACATACTCACTTTACACATAACAATATGCATGTTTGGCAAGAAAAGAAAGAAGCCATTAGTAAACGATGAGAGAAAGTTAAGCAATGGCCAAGAGTCTGTGGGCCCATAGCTCATGTGAGTTGCGAGCAAAGCTCTATGCTCCTGCCTTGCCTGATCACTCAAAATATGGTTTACTGCCAAAAAAATATGAATAAATGGGTCCATAGAAAGGGCCTTCCCAAGAGGAAAAAGGGACCTCCATTGAGGGAAAAAGTTAGCAGCAAGTACTCCTAAAGATCAAACAAGCTTTCAAAGCCTGGCGTGAGATCTATCTGTATCCGACTGGCCCTATATGGTACAATAATATTCCATAAATCAAAATATTCAAATATTCCTGCTGTCAGCTTATCTCCACTATAAAACAAAAAACATAAATAAATAAAACTGAACATACATTAGAGTTTGAGTTGATCAATGCATTATCAGGAGTAGTCATCAACTCAGAAGAGTATATTGCAGCATTTGTTCGTGAGCATAACTGTTGAATCCAAATATGTCTTGTGAATCATACAGGTGGAGATTTGTTATGGTATGACTCATAGACCATATAGGGACAGACGCTGGAACGAAACGGAGCGGAGCGGAAGAATCTGTCAAAATCGAGAAGTTACGTTATGTGGGTTGGGGCTATACGATACAGGGGTAATTTGAGAATTACATATTGTACTGTAGGGTTTACTCTAGGATTATAAATAAACCTGTTTGTAATCCTAGGTCTTTGAGAGAGCTGAATATTGTATTTTGTACTTTTTTCTGAATATTGAAAAGGAGGTCGCCGCTCTGCTCCCGAGGACGTAGGCATCTTTGCCGAACTTCGTTAAATCTCTGTGTTCTTCTGGATTTGTGTCGTTCATGTTTTCTTTGCAATAATTTTCTCAACAAGTGGTATCAGAGCCAGGTTCGAGAGCAGGGAAGAAAAAGTTTCGGTACAGCAATAGAAGAAGAAGAGTTCGCGAGTTCGCGTTACAACAGAAGAGTTCGCTAGTTCGCGGCTTCGGTACAGCAGAAGAATTCACAAATTGCAAGAAGTCGCGATTGGCGGCGACAAGGTTCTTGCGGAAGGCGGATGGGCGGAAGGGAGGAAAGGAATCTTTCTTTCTGTGCGTGGATCTGAAAATGAAGGAAGTTTTGCAAAGGAAGGTTTGACGCATTTGTGAAAGGAAGGAAATTGGAAGGAATCTTCCCATTTGTTTTTTTTTGCTGGTTCGATCCATTTCTTTCGGTGGCTGCGGAG